TTTCATTAATGAACTTTCCATATATTTTCAAAATTATTAAATTAAATTTTATTAATTTCCTTTATTTATTTATCTAAATTATTTGTTTAAATTTAAAAGAGAAAAAAAAACACTTTAATTTTTATAATTTAATATATTTCTCACTTTTCTTATAAATTCAAACTTCTCAAATATTTTGAATTTTATATTTAAATTTTCTTTTAAATAAACCTATATAATACATGAGTCTCACACATAGTTAACAATATATAATGGTTATTTTGCTAAGTGTATCATTTTTTTTGGGATTAATTGCAAAAAAATAATAAAAAATAAACGAGGAATAACTTTTGAGTAAATAAAATCAAACTTTAAGGATTTTTTTTTTAAAGATTTGCATATGTTTAAAAGATATTTGATTGAGAATTTATGAGGGACAATGACTACTTATCACATTAAAGGATCACGAGAGTAATTGACTTCCAACCAATGAAAAGAGCACGGGTTTTTAGCATTGTAGCACAACAAAGTTTGACAAATTTATACATTTAGTGATTCAAGTATTTTTTGTGTCTAATAGATCATTAAAGTTGAATTTTACCTATAAATGACACCATTATATAACCTGATACAAAAACAACTGATTACTTAAGTGACTAAATGTGCAAATTCGCCAAACTTTGTTGTGCTACAGTGCCAAAAACAAACCCACATATGTGAAGCCACGTCAGCATGTCACTTGTAAACTGGATACAATTTCCCTCGAACCTTTAATCAGTCGGTATTTCCTAACGTGCCAAAAACCCAAAGACCCAAAGACCACATGTTGCATGTTATCACGAGAGTAAATGTATCTCATTGAGAGAGAAATTACTAGTGATAACGATTAGTTTTTATTGTTTGTAATAGTTAACCTTTTTTTCTACTTTGTATTTTGGTTTTTATGGTTTATAATAATTTACTTAGAGCCTAAGAAAATTGGCCGATAGCTTGTCTATGCTCAATACTAAATATTACACCCAAATCTCAAGAATGATGTACAAATTTGTTTGGTTATCTCTATCTAAAGGTTAATCGCCATATTAGATGCCTACATTTTCATTATCATTTTACTAGCAACAAGAAATTGTTGTTATTCTCTTATAAGTTCATGAATAATAAAAGGAATCTAATTAACCAAAAAACTATATTACTTTAGTTATAAGATTGTAGAATTAATAAGTTACTATTTTGATACTTTGTAATTTGTATTTACCTCTAGAATGATAAAGTTACTATTTTGATACTTTGTAATTTGTATTTACCTCTAGAATGATATAAGAAATAATAAAATTACATCTTATAGTGTATAATTTCATTGATCAATATCCAGTAGACTCGGACCACACTAAACGAATTTGTTTAAAATCGAACAAAACGGTATTCAAGATCAATTTATCTGCATCATCAAGAAGCTATATGTTTGCATTGAAATTACCATCTGGCTTAGGGATATGGTGATCAACAACATTGTCGTGAGGCACGTCCACCATGTGATGATGATGAACAAGTTTACACATGATATTGGAAGTTGATTACATGTATTGCAGTCTGGTCTAGTTATAAACTAAGACTTATCAATGATACTTAGTTGATTACATGTATGTGTGTGTGTGTATATATATATATATATATATATATATATATATATATATTGAAAACACAATAATGACAATTTGTATATCATTTTTGGTTCTTTTTTGTGATTCCCATCAATAAATATAACAATTAAAATCATAAAAAGATATCATCTATATCTTATAAAACTTAAGAGAACTTTGTAGATGTATCGCAAGCAACATATTTCTAGGCCATATACTACTTAATTGTTGAATTTTCAAGTCTTGGGTACAAAACTTTTACAGTAAACCTACATCCTATCGAAAAGCCTCTCACAATCGAATGCCATCTCAGAAAATAAAGGCTTACCAAAGGCTATTATTTTAAAATAAAGCTCCATTATGAACACTATGTGGCCTAGAAAGCGTATTCTTTACGAAAAATCAACAAAAGTTATATTAATTGTATATAACATGTGTTTTTATAACTATTGTAAAACATCTTGAACTTAATTTGATCACTTCTGAAAAGTGAAAACTCCCACCATTGTCATTTTTGACACCTAAGTTATTTTATTTACACCTAATACCTGAAAATTCAACAATAAAGGTAGCATGTGGCCTAGAAATGCACTCCGTACAAATATTCATGTCTTGAATGTAAAAAAGAAGTGGCATAGGTGTAAAGACTAAAGAATGACAATGAAGAGAGTTTCTACTTGTTTAGAAGAGACCAAATTAAGTTCAAGTTGTTCTACAATAGTTCTAAAAACCTGAAAAATGATATATAAATTATCATTGTTGTGTTTTTTTAATAAATAAAACTGAGTTTTTTTAGTGAAAAAGGATGTATATGGTATTTGTATTTTGAGTTTTTTTAATAAATAAATACAAGTTTTCTTCAAAATTAATTAAGTATATAAAAAATAAAAATCTTCACAAAAAATCCTTGAACTTTTACTCTATTAACCAAAAAGTCATCTTCGATTGTTTATTTACAATTTGGCCCTGGAAACTGGGATTAATCGAGTACAAGAGTTATTGTGCGAGTCTTGTAACATCCCAAAAATCATCGGTAAAAACTTCATTTTTAATTTAACCTAAATTCATCAAATAATCATGTCAAGCCATCCAAAAGTATGTCATAGTAAAACATTTATTAGAGTAAATCTCCAAAAAATCATAAAAGTGCGGAAAACATGGGTCAATGCTCTATGATCAAACCCGGTTTCCCCTTCGAACTGGATGTACCTGTAACATAATCATAAAGCATAAGCACAAAGCTTATTGAGTTCCCTAAATACCACATACCATACACCATGCACACATATCATAACAAAACATGCACGGGTCTATGTCAACCCTGAGTCCCTTCCAACTCTCTTAGTCCTTTCTAACTCCTTAGTTTTTTCCGACTCCTTCGGTATCTTTCAACTGGTACGGGTCGATTACATCCCCTACAACTAAGAAAACAGTTATACCAACAAGAGTTAAAAAGACAACAAGCTCTCTCTCTCTCTCTCACACACACACACACACACACATATATATATATATATATATATATATATAGTATCACAAGGATCACAACTATCTTACAACATAAATCAGCTGGCTGACATTGGTGCCTTCGACTTACAGACACAGTGAGGAAACTCACCTTAATTAGAATGATAATCCATGAAAGGTCAAGATTACCATCTAACATGCTAATAGAGTAAAATACCAATTTACTATTTCCTTAATGGGCCCCTTATCCCATGTCCCAAGACTAAAAGACCTAAGGCCCAACAATGGGCCAAAAGACTTAAAGTCTAAGAAGGTTCATAGTGAGTATGTTAAGCGTACCACCTAATTACGCCCGACATACGACTTACACAACAAATAAAAATCAGGGCTCACACATGCTACGTTAGGCGTACGCCTTTGTATTCCCCGTATACTCCTCTGAAAGCCAAAACTCACATTAAGTGCTTAATGCTTAACTCAAAGCGCCCAAAACATAGATCTAGCTCAAGAGAAACGTCCTAAACGATAAATTCATAAACTTGATGCCTTTGCATGGCTCAAGGAGGCTCAACATGCATTTATAACACTCTAACTTCATATTAAGGCCATTAACTCATGCATGGTTGAGCTTAACCCATCAAGATGCCGTTTTTATGATTCCACAACTCTAAAAATACCAAGAACTAACCAAAACAAGTTTTGGAGTAACTTCTACTCACAAGAACCAAACCAGGGGACCAGAGCATACCAAATATAATCCTAAATCTGGATCTAAGCTAATGAGTCATAAAGTTTGAAGCTATATACCTCCAAAAGCCTGCCAAGGTGAAGAGAGTGTTGGATCTTCAAGTTCCAAGCAAACTATTCCTCTTTCAGTGAGCTCTTATTCTTCTTCAAGATGCAACCACACACACATATAAGGTTAAATTTCTCTAAAAAGGGATTAGGGTTTCGAGATAACGCTTTGGGGATAGTGGAGGCTCGAAAGTGAGAGAAACATTAGGACATAAGGTGCTTAAATAGTGTCCAAACCCTAAAATTTAGGGTTTGCATTTTGTGTAATTACGCTAGGCATAATATATGTATGCCCAACATACTGGGGTGAATTATCGTGATCACTTAAGCCTAGTACGCCCAACGTACATACCTTGAACTCCCAACGTACCAGCCAACCCCCATTCATATTCTAACTTTCGAAGGCCATAACTTCTGTGTCCAAAATCTGTTTTGGGAGTTCTTTATATGCTTGGAAAGGTTAAAAAAATCCCTACAGTTCCATCAAATCTCCTTCACCTTAAAACCTTTCGAACTTGAATCCTTATTCAGAGAAAAGGTATGAAGCATCACTTTTACCATTACGTGTAACATTATGTTTATTAAATAAATAAATAGATAAAAATTTACTAAATGAATAATAGCCCTAAATGCGGAATAATTTAGCAAGGCATTGGTTTTGGGGGTTAAAAAGTCATAATTGAGAGTTTAGGGATCAAAATGTACCTTCCGGATTAGTTTTTAAAGAATTTTGAAGGTTGAGGGCTGTTTGGTAAATTATGGATTGAATTTGAAAAGGATTTTAAAAGTCAGGGTGTTATTGGTAATTATTGGACTTATTATGAAAGGATTTATGGGAGTAGGGACTAAAGGGTAAATTTTCGATTTAATTTGAAAAGTTTTGGTGGAGGAGGAGCTGAACTCGAAAAAATGAAAAATGTTTGAAAGGAACTCTAGATTAAACTCGATGCCTCCTTCCTTTCCCGTTTCAAGATGTGTCAGCAAGAACCCTAACCCTAACGCCTCTTTCTTCATCCGCCATGTGAGATCTTCAACCGCCACTCCCGCTTTGCTCATTTTCCGACCAGTAGAGCCGCCGAGCATCGGAGCTCCTACCTTCCAACAAGAGCAGTCAACGACATGAAGGTCGAGTGTGTCCTTTTCCACCTTTCTGTTGTCCTCATCCTTATTTTTTCTATTTTTCCTCCAGTCATGTCGCCGGTGTCACTAGGTCCGTCGAACGCCGCTGCTCCAAGCACCTGTGGTGCGATGCTGCTACCGCTCTGACCGCCGCTGCTGCCTGGGGAGCAACCATGGCAGGTGTGTTTTTTGTGTTTCTACTATGTTTAATGATTGTGTGTCGTAGTGTTGTGTGTGCTTTATTTGGTTGGAAATCCACCGCCACCACTTCACCACCACCAGCTGTTGTATGGTGGTGGTTGTGTGTGTTTGTAATGGTGTAGTGAGCGTGTTCAGTAGAACGGGAGTTGTTTAAGCATTTTTTGGCGGAATAATAGAAGGAAAAACCACCACCGTCGTCGTGAAGTGGTGGTTGTCGCTGTGTACCACCGTCGACCACCACCGCCTGAGCTACGTGATTGAATGTACCCCCTATAACACTTCATTGGATGATGTAGTAACAATTGTAGACACTTATCACCCGCTTCAATTGTTTACTAAAGGCTGTAGCTAGGTACCACAGATAGGGATGTCAATCTCGTATAGTCTATACATATATATCTCGCTGCAAATATTAACGGTTATAGTAGCGTGGGTATGCTAAGTGTTAAGACTCAGCAAATGAATACAGTCTCACTAAAAAGCCCTTAAATAAAGTATATCAATAGCTCTTAGCCCTAACTTAATTGTGGTTAATTCACTAGGCATAATGAATTTCATTGTATAAAGTTTATAAAAAACGAATATACCTGGTATGTATGTAAAAGTGTAATGTACTAATTTTTATAAAGATGTATGTTTCAAAATAATGAACATATGTACTTGTATAAACTTTATGTATTTAAACATATAAATATACATGAATAGTAATAGCTTGAGTCCTTGAAATACTACAAAGTTTTATAACATGTTTGTTATATTATACAATATCACATAAAAATCATATATTTTTATATCATGTAGTATTTGTTTTGTGGACTAGTTATTTTACAATAAAACAACCATGATACGTATATGAAAAGTTTATACTAGTTTATTGGTAACGATATGTTACATTGTTAAACAACATTTTTATAGACTAGAATTATTGTATTTTCGCATAAAAGGATAATTTATTTGTATAAACGAAGTATATATGCACATGTATTCCCCCCTCCCCCTATATATATATATATATATATATATATATATATATATATATATATATATATATATATATTAAAAGGGACCATAAGCACTCACCCTTGAAGCGTGAGTTCGATTTCTACTAAATTGGTTTATTTGAGAAGTTTGTTGTGAGAAACAATAAAGCCACAATTCTTCAACTCCGAAATACTTTTGGGACCGTTTCGTAAAGAATTTAAACTATTAGAGGCTGTTTGGTAATTTAATTAACCAAAATAGGACTACTTTGGTTACAATAAATGAAATGAGAGATTAAAATGATTTAAATTGAATTAATGTTTGAGTCTTGGAATGATATTGTTAAGAAATCTCTATGGGCGGGGTTAATTTGTTTTAAATAAACCTAATTCGGTGGAAAAGGGTTTATTTAAAATGAATGTTTAGCAGGGGGGTTTATTGGTCATTTTCTCAAAGTTTAAAGGAATTAGGGCTTTTTGTGCCCCGTTCGTCATTTGACTGATCGATCGGACAAAGGGGAAATGAACGAAAGCAGACGAACGAAGAGAGGGAAGCACGAAGGCTTGCAGGCGTGATGTTTCATTGATCGGTCGCGAGAAGGATCGTCTCCGAGGGTCGATGAGGCCGAAGGGAAGGAAGGGAGAAACAGCGAGGCTGATGTGGAGTTGGCGAAAGGGAGTGGAAATGAGGTGGAAGAGAACAATGCTAGGGGAGGTGCGAGGGACAAAGGAGGTCCGATGGGAGTTCGGTCGACAACCATACTTCGCAGGTGAGGGCTTCGGTGGGTTTTGCTCGACTGGAGGAGGTGTGGGATGCGATGGGGAAAACGATCAACAACAGCACCGCAGATGGTATGATTTGACAGTGAAGGTTGACGGGAAAGGAGGGATGGAGGGGATACCGGATCTCCGGCGACTCCCTTCCGCTGTTTCCTCTTCTTGTTGCCGGCAGTGGAGTGGTGCTGCAACAGCAGTGATCGAAGGGGTGTTTGGCTTGGTATTGTTGGATAATCACAGGTTTTCCTTTTTTTTTTTTTTTCCATTGACAACTCCGATAAAAAAAATGTTGAAGAGGATTAGGAACATTTTTTGTTTGTTGTTTGACAGGAGAAAGAACGAAGACATCAGTTGGTTTTTTTTTGATTTGTTGTGAGCGACGAGAAGGGAGGAAAAAAATGAGGCGTTTCTTGTTTGCAGGTAGTCACGAGAACAAAAACAAAAATGTTCTTGACTGGTAATGAAGATGCAGGTAGAAAATAAAGAATCTCTAAATTTTCAGTTTAGATTTCCGTTGTTGGTGGTTGTTTGTGAATCTAGCATTTGTGATCATTTGTTGATTTTTATCATTGTACATGGTGTGGGGTATGTTTGAGTGTGGTCTTGGTTGAAGGAAGAGTGCAAGCAAGCTTGAAAAAGGCCTAACATATTTCTTTTGTGTGTAAAAATTAATAGCTGTCATTTATGTATTGAAATTTATAAATAATCAATTTTCCCAAGTATTATGTGTGTGTATTGATATATTAATTTAATTAAACATTTATTTGTGTGTATTTTTGAAAATTAGATGGTAGAGAAAATGATAAAATTTATGTAAAAATAATATGCAATAATATATAGTTGAATATTTGTGTCAAAGAAAAACAGTATTATACTGGTTTTAGATTCTTAAAACGGTCGTATCTTTTGCATACGAACTCCATGTGCCAATCAACCATCAACTTCTAACCAACTCAAGAGGCATAATCACTTTGAACCCTTACTTTGTTGTCCCAAAAGGGACACCCAGCTATCATGAGACCTTTTCCTGTAAGCTTTCAATATGAGCACCACACTTACATTCTTGGAAACATGAATCTAATAGAAAATCACACTGTAATCACGTTCTCACCACCCCTTACACTTCTTAACCAGGAAATATCCTAACCATCTCGAATTCCATTAATCAAATGAGCTTACATTGTAACTCCCTCTTTCCCACAATGTTGCATCTAACAAATTAATACGACTGCTGATCCCCGATAGGACACTCAGTTCGTTTTCATCCATGACTCGCACCGATAATGGTCGACACCCTAAGACCAACTCATCCAGGTACACTCCAATCATGACTCTCGGTGTGTAAAATGACATATAACGATCTTCTGATAATTATAACCATACAATCGTAAAGAAACTATGATCCTTAGGTGGGGACTTAACTAAACCCAACATAACGTCACAACACCCAATTATATAAGCAAAAGCAATTAAATTGCATGGAGGAATACATACCCGTGTGGTCTTGAAGTCTTGGTTCTGCCTCTTGGAAGACCGCGGGAGATAGGGTCTGAGCCACCCCAATCAGCAAACGTAGGCAACTTAGCCTAATATGACCAGGATGATGACAACGATGACACAATTCTACCTTTAGATTGCAATCTTGGCAAACATGAGCCTTCTGACCGCACCAGTCGCATTTGAACTTGTAGCGCACAGGCTCGTGGGTCCCTCTACCCTTAGCGCGAATCTTGTGGTGCCGATGGCCTCCATCACTAGACATGGAAACATCAAGCTACTTAGATGTTGTTAGCAGATTCAGACCATTAGGTTGCTTCCTCTTTCCAAGTTGCCTCTCCAAACCAAGCTCCCACTCCCAAGTCTCCCCGACAATCCGATCTGTAGACTGAACGACTAAACTTTGATCCTCGAACTTGGCGACTATCCTGTCAGAGATATGACCAATAATACTATAACACCTGTTCCAGATATCTTTTAATTTTATTAAGTTTTAGGGTTTTGTATTGGAACTCGACGAGTTGGGAGCTCCAACTCGTCGAGTAGAGGTCGTTTATGAGTACACTAGATTTAGATCCTACTCGACAAGTCGGAGGCCCCCGACTCGACGAGTAGACGCTGTAAAGGAAAACCCTAATTTTTAGGGTTTGCACCCTATATAAAGGACTTAATCCACCTCTTTGGCCTCCCTTATCACTTCATTACCCAAAGAAGAAACCCCAACTGTTCTTTGCTGCTTCCTTGTGCTTGTGAGACTAAGAGAGTGTTTTTGGTGCATTTGGTTGAAGAAGTTGAAGGTTGAGAAGCATAGAATGGGAAGGAGCTTGTAGATCCAGCATCTACATCGTTTGGGCTTCCATTTGAAGGTAAAAAGCTGTTACCTTGATCATTCTAGCATCAAATTCCCTTTTTCTTCGGTTTAAGGCCATTTGTAGTATATTTGTGGATCATTTCGGGTATTGGGCATGATCTGAAGTTGTAACTTCAGATCTGGACTCCTCTAAGTCCCTCGAGTTATAAAGTCACTGAATTTGTCAAGCATTGGCCCTTCTCTTTGGCATAGAACCCTCCCTTAGCTTGGTTTTGGCATTTAAGAGCTTGCATGGACGTAAAGTTTGCAACTTTACGTGGAAACCATGCCCTATGAGGCTAGATCTGCAATTTGGAGCTTTGGGATAGCTTAAAAACGCCTGAACACAAAAAGGACTGAAGGGACTCGACGGGTCCCTTAGCCAACTCGACGAGTCGGGTAGGGGTTACCCATTTTGAAGATTCTGAGTGATTTCAGTGAAGGATTAGAGTTTTCAGCCTACATGAGTTTTTGGTCTTCTGGATATTAAGGAACTTGACGACTTACTCAGGTGACTCAGCAAGTTGAAGAGTCCCTCAAGTAACTCGGCGAGTTGCTGAATGCACTCTACGAGTTGAGGTCAACGTGGACTGTTGACCTGGACTTTGACTAGGGTTGACTTTAAGGGTATTTATGATATTTCAGGATTGTGACAAGATAATCACATGATGATTATAGGCAGTGAGTTGGAGTTGTGTGTGGGACTTATCTGATCTTATCTTGTCAGTCAACATTCACAAGAGGTGATTCTCCTCACCATACCAATGGGTCGAAGGCACCAAGGCCGACCCATTATTTTCTACGTGTATGCTAGTGGATTATGTGATATGTGGTATGCTAGTTGTATCTATCATACTTGTAAAGAAGACCTCGGGAGGGGGGGGGGGGTTCCCGAGGCACTTAGGTGTAAGACCTTGGAGGGTTTCGCTGGCATCCTAGGTAAAGACCATGGGGGGTTCCCGAGGCATTAGGGTATAAGATCCTGGAGGGTTTCCAAGGCGTCCTTAGTCAAGACCTCGGGGGTTCCCAAGGCACCGGGCTAAGACCATGTGGGGGTTCCCATGGCACCCGGAGTAAGACCCTGGAGGGTTTCCAGGGCTTCCTTATATGTTTGTATGCATGACTTATGTGGATTATGTAGCATTTATAGCTAATACGATTATGCGATTATATGTATTGTGTGGGGTATGCTCTGGGGAACTTACTAAGCATTAGCTTACAGTTTGTTGTTTGTTTCTGGTACTTCTGAGCCTAAGGGCAAGGGCAAGGTTTGATGGCGCGACATGCACTCTCACATGCGTTTTCTCTTGGGACACTCTGATGTTTGAAATAAATTTTGTTGATGTATGAATTTGAAAACAATTGTTGTGAGATTTTATGGATAATTGGAAATGTTTTGATAACTTAAAAATGAAAAATTACTTTTGAAAAATTGGGTCGTTACAAATACCAATCAATTCCTTTTGTATGGTCCAAGAAACCTCAGTGAAGATACAATTGAGGAATCGATCCCCTTGAAGGTAGGATTCATAACCCACATTCGATCCCTCGGAGCAAGAACTAGCAATAGGATCTTCCTCCTCAAAGAACTTTGGGTCTCCACGAGCCTTGAACCCCCGATGAAAGAAAGTTTGAGTCCCTAACTACCTTGCTGCAATCTAGGCCCGGAAAGCCCCGGGACACCCATCTAAGAGCTCCATGATCCCTTCCATGATGGTACCAAACATCGCAGGAGTCGCATCCAAAATACCGCGAGTGATCTCCGACATAACAAGCTCGCGTATCCTTTGATCAATCGGCTCAACACCCGAGCTTGAACCTGAACAAGAACCACCTCCACGATTGTTCATCACCATATTGAAAAGAAACCACAAAAATGGTCAGAACATACCGAAGGAATCCTCATCCTCTAGGCTTTCTATATTCTCCATGCCTTTCCTCGATTCAAGTATAGATCTTGTGCTTCCAGTAGTATAGGGCCAATACTACCCTCCACACTTATCTGTACTTTCCTCAACAATTATACAGAATCCTCCAAGTTACCTTATCAAATCGGTACTCCAAGTACTCGCTAAACAACACATCCACACCCACTAAAACACTTCCTAGGCTCTCTTAGGTTCTTGACCTTGCCTTACCATCAGCTGCTGAAGAACTCCTACTAATGTCAGCAAACTAGTTCATGAACACAATCATATGCCACAAAGCTTAGATAATCCTTCCACAAAAAGACTCATCCCAACAACGATTAGACTCAGACGAGAGTTTCACAGTAGGGTCAAATCAATCACTCTAAGATTATTTAACCTATGCAACATGTGACTTAACATATTCACTTAATAATTAATTCATATCATCAAGATTCCCACAAAGCACAAAGCAAGCAGCATTCCTGCAATAACACTGCAAGCCACAAACGAAACAGGGGACATTTCAAGCTCACTTGCTACCATTAAAGATCATAAATATAAGATAACAACTAATTCCTCTTTGGCAACAAAGCATCGCATATCAGGCCAATCTATCTAACATCAGAAATACATTCTAGCATGTGCTTTTAAAAGCTCAACAAATATGAATATAAAGGCATGTATCCTAACATTCTATCTTGCAATCCTGAGCATGTCCTTAGCCCTAATCTAGCATGCAATTCATATAGAATAACATCATGTATGGGTATTTTAGGAATCACTTACTTGAGCTCGACTGATTCAACGCATCACACCCCTTTTTCTTTAGGATACATATTTTTAGAAAACTATTTTTCTTTTGAAAATATTACCAATTCCTCAATTTGTGTTCAGAAAACACCAGAATGTGCGCTTGAATCCCTTAACCCAAGGCTCTGATACCAACTTGTAACATCTCGAAAATCATAGGTAAAAATTTATTTTTTAATTCAAAGCAGAACCAGCATATAACATGTCAAACCATCCTGAAGTATGTCATATTAAAATAGTTATTAGAGTATAATTTCCAAAATGATAAACGCGTGGAAAACATGGGTGGATGCATTGTGATCAAGTCGGGCTCTTCCCTTTCGAATTGGATGTACCTGAAACATACACTAAATTCATAAGCACAAAGCTTAGTGAGTTCCTTAAATACCATATACCATACATCATACATACATATCATAGCAAAACATGCATGGGTCTAGTTCACCCATGAGTCCATTCCGACTCCTTGGGTCCCTTCAGAATCCTTCGGTGTCTTTCAACCGGTACGGGTTTGTTTCACCTCTACAGCTTAGCATACACTCATACCAGCAAGAGTCACAAAGACAACAAGCTGATACATACATATTAATAAGTATCACAAGGACCACTACTAATTACAACATAATATAGTGAGTCAGCATTGGTGCCT